TCTTCGAAATTTTTTTTACAAATATATCTTGTCTACATCTACAACATATTTTTTTTTTTATGAAAATTGATTGAGCCGTTTAAAAAATATAAATTTTTTTTGAAATTTTGGTTTTTATTTCTCACACCCCAACGGTTGAATATTAAGGGCTAATGTTTGGTAAAATTGTAACTGATCTTGATAGCAACTAAACTGTAAAAAATGGTCATGATCAGCGCGGGGGCAGATTGCCCCTCCTTATCCGGCTACGACCTTTATGAACATTAAATTAGATATAATTAATCTTTTTATGATAAAATAAATAAAAAAATTCAATAGCAGTGGTTATTGAATTTGTGCATATTTACATTGAAAAGTAAACCATTTAGCCTTTGCTGCCCGAATTTCCGTTTTTTGTTAATATGCGAGAATTATCTCGTGGAAAGTGTGTACTTTACATAGAGAACGTGACATAGAAAAAATAATTCTCACTTGTGTATTGCGTTACATTTGCAAGTAGCCGCTTGGTTTGCGGCTGGGTATGAAAGCTTCATATAAAACGACCCTGATCATGATCTCACCGTCACAATTCACTGAAGTGCCAATTAAGGCGTACCACCGTTATTTCAATAGTTGAACGAAGGCTGCACTCTCGTCACTGACATTTTCATTTTTTCACTATCATCGCTTAACAATAGATCCAATCACCTGTTCAGTGAAATTCAAGTCTTGGGTTGGGTCTCTTTGATTGTATTTCGATAAAAGTATGTCCGGAAATCCGCTTCCTGTGTTTAAAATTAATTCAGATTTGTAACATGTATAGTAGACAGAATAATTCTCTTCCCATTTCTCGATTGATGATTAAAAAATAGAAGCAAGAAATTCAAATAAATGCAAATTATTCAATCGAGAGATGAACTATTTAGATTTTTATAAATATTTTTTAATTTTTCGATTATCATAAATTATAAGTATTTATAACCTAATCTTTTAAAATTTATTTCTATATATGTATGATTATATATAAATATGACTAAAATATTTATTTACTAAATATTTCTTTTTGAATTTAACATAATTATGTTAGAAATACAGGAAATGCGATAATTACGCAGTCATTGATTATAGTTATCATGAATTGATATAGGTATATGACTAATAATTAATGATACTTTCAATATGTTTCTATACAATCTTTTTTAACTTTCATTTGAAACAGTTTTTGTTATTAATAATAATTTTTAGCAATATTCATATGAATTGATTAAAATAAAAAATACTTTTCATAATAATTTATTCGTGACAGTTCTACAGTACACACCTATTTAGGCAAGTTTTCTCCTTTTCTTGATCGCGTTATTATACACTTATACGACATTTAATACATAAAAACGCACTTCCACAACGTTGTCAAGCATTGCGCAGCGAGGAGCTACGTTAAAAAGACTACGTTAACTAATTTCGTATCTTCTTTATGAAAAGGTATTCTGAATCCTCTTGGCTAAACACTTTGCACTCCCGACTGTGGTATACATACATTTATAATCCACAGGTATATGTCACGCGTAACGGATTAACGAACAAACACTTGTGGTTAATAATACGTATGATTAAGAATTCTTCGTACTTTGCGTCTATCGTATTAGCCGTCGACTATGTCGACTCGCCCGTAACATTCTGTAACATCAGCGACGAGGAAAGAGAAGGAGAAGGATCAAATGCCCTCCCTTCTTTGTTACGCTGCTAACTGCAGCACTGCCTCTTTCCACGTTGATATGTAATGCTCAACCGGTTCTCTTATTATACGAATGAAAAATCCTTCAGCCTCACGGATTACGAGCCCCGAGTAAGAAAAAAGTGTCGTCACGCAAACGCAACGTAAAATGTGAAAGGAGATGAAAATTTTATACAATTTCAATGAATTTTTATTCTTGTAATATTATATATAAATGATAATTATCAGCGGGATTCGTAATTTATTATTTTTACTTACAAGTGTCAGACTATTTCAAGTGTCAGACACCGATTTATTTCATATTTTGGATTTTGATTTGAGATACCAAAAGATGATTTTTCATGTAAAAATTAATTGCTCAATATTAATCGTAGCGTTTATACACGATATTTCATTTTTATAATAATGTATAAAATACTTCAGAAATAACGCATTTCTCCCAAAAATGTTTCAAATAAAAATTGCTTGGTTTCGAAGAACATGTAAAATAGTGATTCATTTAATCTAGAAGTTCCTACAAAGGTCTTATTAACGTTAACTAAATTTTTCAAATAATATATATTACATTTTTTTACGTAAATTGATTCCTTTTTTTATTCTGCTGCTTTATTCTGATGAAGATCATTATTTTATATGTCTTTCAAAACCAAGCAATTTTTGATTGAAACATTTTTTTGGGTGAAATGCGTTATTTCTGAACTATTTTTACTACATTATTATAAAAATGAGATACCGTGTATAAGCGCTATGGTTAATATTAAGTAATTAGTTTTTGCATTAAAAAATCATCTTTTGATATCTCGAATCAAAATCCAAAGTATAAAATAAATCGACGTCTGACACTTGAAATAGTTTACTTGTTAGTTGATATTATATAGCCAATTAATACTAGTGTATGTTCATACTAATATACAAAATATTAATACAATATTATCTTTAATATACAGGGTGTCCCGTAACGCTTAATTAATATTTCAAGGCGTGAAAGAGAATGAAATTTTGAACTAAAAGTTCCTCTTTCAATTTTGGCTCAGACCATTATTTACAGAGTTATTAACGAATAAAGTTAATCAATTAGATCGCGTTTAGCCGGAGTACGCAGGAGCGTAGCGTGCCGA